AGTCTACCCCAGTGAACGAAATAAAGGGTTCAGTTCGACATTCCAATCACCTGAAGAAGACCGGAGCGTACAACGGCCGAGACATTGTGATAAACATGGCGACAAAGATGAGAACAATACTCCGAATAATGTAAATATATTCAGAGATGTGTTGCTAAAGGAGTATTTTCTCGAATTTTTTATAATTTAAAAAAAAAAAATGACTAATTTTTAGAATGTCCTGTATCATAAGTATCATTTAACGAAAACATGATTGGGGACTATATTTGTGGGGGTGATAGTGTATTTCGGGGCGGAGAGTATATTTGGGGTCTGATTCAAGAAAATAATTTTCAGTGGATGCGTAAATCGCGAAAAACTACTCACTTCGAATTTTGTTATCGTGTCGCTTGTGTAATCCGAGAATAAAATACACGTTACTTTTGAATAATATTTTGTTTTTATCTTAATTTGCATAAAAGAGAATCTTAACATTGGCCAATTTTCCAAATGGAAATATAATTATCAGAAATATAATTATCAGAAATATAATTACAAAAATATAATTATCCTGGTTACAAAAAGAAGACGTGAACCTAAAACTTTATCTTTCCTATGATGTAGAGTAAACTTCTGAGTACAAGTCGAGATGTCAATCCTAAAAATATTTCTGAAACTAAAGGTTAAACTGATATACAACCTATACAACGCAAAATGTTTACCTTCGTTTCTTCTTAATGTGGTAGGTTCACTCAAAATATAAACGACCATGGCTCTCCACAAATTCCTATCCATTGTAGTGATTTTCTAAGCACTGCTTAGATGTGGCACAAGGCCGGAAGTATGGAGCATCCACTACTCAGAGGTGCCCAATTCCTACCCATTGTAGATCTTAATAAATATTGTCTTTTTGTTGTTTCTTATATCCTTGTACCGCCATCCATTTACTGCCCAGCAAGTATGTTTTGCATTGCTTTCCTTTGTCCCGTGAGTATCAGATTTTTCAAGTCCTCCTTCCTCATTATGTGCCGCAGAAACTTCAACTGACTCTTAAGTATTAATTTCCTTTTTGTTTCCATTTTCTCTGTTCACATGTTTGGTCCATGGTACGATCAGAATCTTTATGTAGAACCATATTTCTCTTGCTTGATGTCTTCCCTTTATCGTTGAGGAGATTGTCCAGCACTCATTGCCGTAAAGGACAGATATCACGTAGTCTTTGTTTTATTTCATAGTTTTCTGCTTAGCTTTTGGTATGTATCCTTGGATATCCCAATAGGTCGAGTTGTAAACAAGTGGGACAGCACTTTTAACAATTACTGTACGCCACTATTCGCATCACTACAGGGTTGCAACAAAAATATCCCTCAAAGACTTGTGTTTGGAGAACATATATGTCAGATTAAAACAAATAAATATAAAATAATAAATATATTAACTCAAATTCATTATTCGACCCAATATAATAAATAGATTTTTTTATTTTTTAATATATATATATATATATATATATATATATATATATATATATATATGGTTTTGTTTTCTTCTCTTGCAAAAAAAAACAAAACATCCTTTCTTGACTGCATGTAGGATGATCAGTACAACCAAGCATACCCGATTCATAACATCGAATAGCCCAAGTGAAGACTTGATTGGTTGCCGTTTTCTGGGGGAACTTATATAAAGCAAGTCCTAAAGATAGTATCAAATTTGCTCTGGATGCGTTATACTTACTGGCACGTGTCAGAGGGTATTCCCCAGAGGAGGCGTTGCCGAAGGACAGAATCTCGTCTCGGCGAAACTGACTCCGTTTTTATGTGGTCTATAGGGAATTTTTACCCAAGCCTACGGGCTCGGATACCCCATTATAAAACTCCGCCTTGTGCGACATCTTGTGCGTGGGGCAGCGGCTAAATAATATTTACCCTGTGTGCGGGCCGAATACTGATCATATTCGGTCGGGTCGGCCATCGAAAAAGTTTGTTGTTTATTTACACCCGGAAATTCTAGTGACATGGGACCAACAACACTGACGTCGAATCTAGATTCGGCATTTAAATTTAACAATACCGTTACATCGCACATCACTTCCTGATGCTGATACACTAATTGTAAACCTTGACTGATGAGCCATTTAACTTAGGCGACCATTCAAACATCTCTGTTAGTTATGCGTGTCATCTTAGCAATTTCATGAAAAGAATGACAGTAATATTTTATTGGAGATGTTGTTGACCTTAATGTGCTTATCTTTAGACTTGATGAGTTTTAAATGTTCGCTATGACATAACGGTGTGTGTTGTAGGTTGTTTGCTATAAAACTCATAGAAAAATAAATTACAGTTAGTGACTCACTGTACAGGTAAGGGCAGTAAACTTATGTAAATTATGCACAAGTTGTTCTATACTGTAGACTATCAGTTGGCCTAGGTTTACAGCCGCTTGTAGCCGACCTTATGCTCGAAGGCAGAGTTATCCTTATGTAAACGCTTAATGCTGAGCTAAAAATCTTGACGTA